ATTTGTGCATGCATCAGACTGACAAAATTCTTAACAAGCCTCGTATAAACATAAATAAAAAATACTTTTTTTTGTATGAAAAAATATAGACACCTATAAATTTCAACCAATTCAGTTAATCGATACAATGCTAACAAAATAATATAAATTATATGTTAATAGATTTTAGTATTTTGATCCCCATGATTGACATAATATATTAGAAATAAATAATAATAATACCAATGGTAATAAAATATATAACAGTAACTGTACGTTTATATTTACAATAAGAAGTTCTGTTGATTAAAAATGTATTCTAAAGACAATGTGGTTAACTAATGAGATGTTTATATTTTAAGAAAAGATAACATTATTTTTAACACTCATGAAGTTTTAGTTAAGCGTGAGCATGAAAATAAGGTGCTGTGAAGAAGAAAAAACAAAGCCAATAATTCGTTTTACTTGAAGCGCGAATGACATTAATCATCGTCGTCTATTTTAACGTTCGATAAGTTGAAAACAACTTACATAAATCGACCCATCAGAACCATTCGGTCTCCCACTTAATATGGGTAGTGATATCTTCTCTATGGAATAAGAAGATACGTTGATGACACACACCCCGATTTCATTATTTTACATTTATGATATTATATATCTAGTACTCACTAATCATTTTTAAACAGTTCATTAATTTTGCATTTTATATTAATGAATAATTGTCAAAGGTCACCGCCATGATGTTCTCTACTTAAATCTTCGATGTTTTGATTAAAATTGTTACTCATAAAGAAAAGATATAAATATTTCAAGAAAATAATAACACTAGTACTTATTCCAAAAAACAAAATTAAGTTTTTTAAGACCTTTTTCAGCTGTGAATAAAAACATAAGCCTAATTATAATCAATCAATATAACATTTAAGTTTCGTCATTATTTATTAACGCTTATTTCTGCTTTTGTGTTATATTTAAATTTTTGTAACGTACCTGCTGATGGTGAAGTTCTTCAGATGGTCGAAACCCCAAGTTTTCTCTGTGCCGGGATAAAGACGTAGACAATTGTTGCCTCTTGCACTCTGAAGTGGCCATTTCCTATTTAAATATTAAAACATTGAAAATATTGCTTGTGCCTATTGGAAACGTAATATCAATAAAATTATTTTGAAACACTCACTTCACCGTCATTATTAAGAAGTGTAGTTGTCATGGTATCTGCTGTAAACCATTTTTGACCTTTCATAACAATATTTGATGGTGGTTCATGTGAAGCTCCAATATCTGCTGACCACACCATTACAGTGGCACCTGCATCTAATTTTACAGTGCGATGGAATTTAAATACTGTTTCCAGAGAACCAGCTTTGCGAATAATTTGCCACCCACTAAGTCCGATTTCCTGTGAAAAGGAAAATAGTGTATAAACATAATTGAAAATATCAATTAATATTTAAGCATCCTATTCAGTAACAAGTATCTTACTTTGTTGCCTTTGTTGGTGAGTTTTACAAATCGCCCTTGGGGATCAGCTTCTGTAATTTCTACATCACCCCTAGATGTTCCAGATACACTGTAGTCTGTACTGCTACGTTCTTCACTTTCCTCTAACATAGTGCGTTTTCGTTTTCCACCTCTTAATGGAGTATGTCTAGAAGGAGTACTTCTACCACTAGCTACTGATGAGCTTGATTGTGCAGGTGTGATGTTTAACCTATAAATGAACAAATTTGATTAGAAATTGATATGTAAATCATTTAATATAATATTTATTATTATAATATATCAGTATGGAATTCTATATTACCTGGCCTCTTCAGATTCCAAAAGTTTTCTATATGCAGCAATTTCCAAATCAAGAGCAACCTTGATATCCATAAGATCTTGATATTCTTGTAATTGCTGAGCCATTTCATCACGTATGCGTGTTAATTCTGCCTCCAAAGATGTTAAACTTTCCGTGTGACGAGCTTTTTCATTTTCACGTTGATTTTCTAAATCCCTATATTAAAATTGGTAAAGTTATATAGTAATTCAAAATGTTCAAAACAAGTTCATGCTCACTAAAAATTCAATTATTTCAATAAAAATTACCTTATCCGTGCATTAAGTGCATTATTTGTTGCTTCTAGTTCATTAATTTTTTGATTAAGTGTATCATTTCTTGATCTTGTTTGCCTCAATTCTTCAACAGCTAAACTTGCTGCTCCACTGTTACGTTGAGCATGAGCTGTCAAATTTTTAATTTTATTTTCATATAACAATTCAATTTCTTCTCTATTAGCTCTCATCTGTGCCTCATACTGGTCTCGTAATTCTTGCAAAGATTGTTGCAATTTAGCTTCATATTGCTCAGCAAGGCGACCATCTATCTCAGAGATTTCAATCTAAAATAAAATATAAATAAATCATGAATAAAAAAATTTTCAATATTAAAAATGCTAGAAGAAAATTTTGTTAAGTAATAACATATAAAGAATAATTATATTATTATTTATCAAAATTTATACAAATTACATATCACCAAATACATACCTGTCTTTTTGATCGTGTTTCTGTTAGTTCTTGCTGATACACTTGATCTTTAAAGCTAAGATCTTCTCTTAGACTTTGAATACTATTTTCTAGAACAACGCGTTGCAAAGTTTCTTCTCCTAGATGTTTGCGGGTATCTTCTAACAGTGCTTTTAATTTTTCTACTTCTTGCTCTAATTCTCTTTCTCTTTCAGCCAGTTTTTTACGTTCTGCTTGAGACTGATTAAACTGTGTTTGCAAATCATTGTAGCGTGTTTCATATAACAACAGATTTCTCTCTGTAACTTGCAAGTCCACTGACTTTTTATCTAGTCTGAAAGAAACCATAGAAAATATTTACATTTTATATATTTTCATTTAAAAATATGTAAAATACAATTATTGTAATGATTAACTATTGCTCTTACATTTTCTAATATTTTAAGATTTCAGTCATTCATGTATTAAAAGTATTGAATTTGATATTGTATAATACAAACAATCTTTTTTAAATTTTAGACTTTATAAAGAATTCCTTAAATACAATCTTAACCGTTTACGAGATTCCGACAGCCGGGAAGAAGAGGTGAGGTGAGAACATTCGTATTTCTATTTCAGGCTACGACCCACATCAAGAATTTTATTTTCTACCGCGGTGTCTCGAATCGTCTTAATATTTTGTTACGTTACAAGCTACAGTCTATCAATATGGTAATAATATAATCATACAATGTACGCCAATGTCATTAAAAAATAAAGAAAAAAATTAATTGGAACATTTAATTTAAAAATAATATAAAGTGCATGTGCAACATTAAAACTGATTTAATGTTTGTTTAATAAAGAAAAATTTGCAGACTGCATGAACATTTTGTTTTCATGATAAAATTGTTTCCCGAGAAATGCTGAGTTTGTTCTTTCATGCGACAACACGTGTCCCGCAACTAATGCCATTCCTTTTGCAAGAAATGTTTTTCTTTATAACTGCTATACGTACAAGGTTGGCAACATTATTTATGTTTCCCATGCAGTCTTATCGTGCTGATAGCTACACCGACGAGTACAAAATCGTTTTAAATTATCGCGAGAATAGTTTGATACATTATCAGAATGATACAAAAATTTTGAAGGATTATGAATATTGCCTAAAAATTTTAACAGAATTCATACAATTTTTAACGAAGCATTTGTGAAACAAAAAATCGGATAAGCCTAGAAGGCAGAATTAATGGGAACCCCCAGCGGCGTTCACAAACATAGCACGCCCTTAGGTACGCTCTTAAACAAAATACGATCGAATATACTTATCTGACTCGAAAGATAAATGGACGTCATAAAGATAAAATTTCGATTAAACTAAAACGTCAATTTCTAATTCCTTGCTTATTTCTATCTAACAAAGAAACAAAAATAAACAAGAGTGCAACGTGAAAAATTTAATGTAATTAAATATCATATATTATTAAATAGATAGAACAACGTTAAACATATTTATATATACATGAACATTTAATATTATAAACTTTAATTAGTTTCGTCTTTCATTCTGAAAATCAACCGAAATAATATTTCCCACTTGTTTGAAGTTTTACCCGTATTTTTATCGATTGCTCAACATTCGCTCGAAAGGAGGTCAATGTTTTCAGTCGAGGTTATACACACGATGACATCACCTCCGCATAGTAAGCGTGACGCAATCACTCGTAGAACGTCACGGTTCCAGTTAGGCACACCCAACATGAAAAATTTTGTAGTTCATCTTATTTGTAGGACTTGATACTCTTAAAAACATATCTATATACTAGATATATTTTAAGCAAAAAACTATCAAAAAATGATATTTCAAATGAAATACAGTATTGCTTTATTTGTTGCGATTTCTTTACACTCAAATATAAATTATAAATATAATGTATTGTCTCTCAATTCCAAATTCTAATTACTTCTGTAACTGTTATTTTATTACAAAGTATAAATAAGAAAATACTATAAAAGTTCAGCAGTAGTATTCCTATCCTGATAAAACATCTGCCAATTCTGTGAATGAATCACTATCAGATTGGTATGCTAGTGTGAAAACTTCTTTCACATTTGACATTTCTCAGATACTGAAAGGATTAAAATGTTTACCATGAAAAATATAACATTTATTAAGTTATCCATATTTTACATTTTTCTTTAAGACAATAAATATTAATATTAAGCAAAACGTCATGCATTTAGCTTTTTAAGAATTCAACATCAATAGCAGCTCTATTAGAGTGTGTTTAAAACACTTACAGCTTAAAGTATATGTTGCATTTATCAAAAAAGGAAGTAATTAACTGAACTATATCAAGAAATGTATATAGCAATATAACTTGGATAACTGTGATTTTACATCAAGAATCATTAACCATTTATCAAAGAAGGAAGTAATTAACTGAACTGCATTAATAACTGTGACATTACATTAAGAATCATTAAGCAGCTACAGGAGCAGTGTATACAGTATTTGCATTTCACTGCATAAGTATGCAACCATTCATATGTGGTGTAATTACCTGTTACATGTACATATAACCACAACAGCAATTCCAGAATACAAATATAGTGAATCATGACTAAATAAAGCAATGTGCAATCATAACATAGAATCTAATTTGCGAAGTATCGCAAAAAGAAATAAATAAAAAATTTAAGATTTGTTAATTGATTTATTCATTAATAACTTTGCATTCCATTATTACATTTTGTTTGTAAATTCATATTTTACGAATTTACTTCATACTACCAAAAAGTATCGAGAATATTATTTATTAAATTCTAACACTGATTTCAGTTTTATCACCGACAAAAATATTTGAACATTGTCATATCTTAATTTACGAAATGATCTAATCACAATGTAAACAAATACGAAGTTTATAAATAGTATCGGGATATGTAGAAAAGGCATATGTAAACGACTTCGACAGATCCAAGCATTTTATGCATTCATTTCCAAGTCAATAATCATACAAAAAATAATACAATTAATAAATACACTACTGCTTAATAATTGGATAAAACTGATTTAAATACTTTTGAATGTATAGAACCATATTTACCATAACTTCCAGAATTACAAACTCTACTTACTTAAAAATTTATCGAAATTTATTTCAAATCGTATATATCAAAATGGAAATTACATAAATAAGGCTATAAGTCTATATAAAGGCCAATGCATGTCAAGTTCATGATACACACGTTCAGAATCAACGTTAAAACGCTAAGCGTATCGATCGCGAGAATGCGTAAATCACACAGCCTTGGTCCCGTGTTCCTTTTCAGGCTTGCATCAATTTATATTTCCAAGACGTATTATCGCTTCATCGAAATCGAAGTGAATTCAAAGAAACTTACTTGGACTTCAGTTCTTCGTTGTTATCCCATAATCGTTTGGTATCAATCTCGAGTTTTGCCCGTTCCCTTGCAGTTTCATCTAGTAATTTTCTTGATTCAGACAATTCATGTTCATACATAGACTTTATGTTGGATACTTCGCGGGTGATAGTCTCCTGGGTCGTCTGTACCTCCCGCGTAAGTTTGGAATTTTCAGCTTCCAAATGCCGTACTTTATCGATGTAACAAGCCAACCGATCATTTAGGTTCCGTAAATCTTGCTTTTCTTGAAGACGTGAATAACGAGTTGGGCTCAAAGGACTTCTTGGTCGCTGGCCGATCGGCGTTGACGTGCTGAATTGTGGCGGCGACTGCACGC